CCCCTTGCCCAGGGATTTCCTCCAGATAGCTGGATGAGAAGAGGAGTCATATAGGGTCTGGGGTGGTACACCAGGAGAGGCCGGAGAGCTCTCCAAGAAGAGAAGTTCTATCCTTGCACTTGTACATAGTTGTCAGGAAGTTTTCCTCAGTTTACTGTTCCTTGGGCATTCCATACACCCAATACCTTAATAAAACCTGAAAACTAAGCTCATGGACTGTTTACTGTCTCCAGAGTGCAAGTTTGAGAAAATGATTGTTGCCTGGCTGTGCAGGACTATAGGGGGGCCCAAACCTTTAGCAACTCCTAAAGGGGTAGTGCTACACTATTATTTTCTGTTCTATTCTATTCTATTCTGTTTTATCTATTCTGTTCTATTCTTTTCTATTTTGTATTCAATTCTGCTTCACTCTGTTCTATTCTGTTCTTTTCTATTCTACTCTATAAAGCAGCCAAAAGATTTATCATCATATTTCACTTTTAAACCTTACTATATTTATTGCAAGTCTTCTGAGTAGTCTGCCCAGTTCTGGTCACCAATCCTTAAGAAGGATGTGCTGGAACTGGAGGGAATCCAGAGAAGGGCAGCAAAATTAATAAGGGGAGAGAGACTACAAGTACTAAACTTATTCTCCCTGGAGAAGAGACACTTGAGAGGAGATATGATAGTGGCATACAAATACCTAAATGGTGATCCCAGTGTAGGCAGTAAACTATTCAGTCTCAGGAAGTATAAGAAGACACAGGGCAACTCATAGGGGGGTTGTTAGGGCAGCAAAGATGTGGAACTCCCTTCCACAATTGGTGGTGTCAGCAGGAAGTATTGATGGTTTTAAAAGACTCTTGGACAAGCATCTTAGTGAACACAATATACAGGGATATGGGAAATGATTTACACACCCACATAGGTTGAACTGGATAGACCAGTGTCTTTATTCAACCTTACCAACTATGTAACTATATGCAATGTTTCCATTTCAAATTCAAATTCATTTTCTAATTTGGATAATTTGTTTCTGCATAATTAAGTTTGAATATGTTGAAATTTGTTACTATTGTGATTCGGAAATTCGGATACATCCAAATCTCAGAATAACAACAATTTCATCCGAATTTCATTTCATAACAATACGAATTGCACATGGCTACCACAAATTAAACATTCACAATAGGCTCAATTCAGTAAGTTTTACACAAGGATAAGTATCTATATTTTCAGCCATGTTCTTGTAATTAGTGATGGGCTAAATTCCCCTCTGTTCAGTTTACATTCGAATATTCATACCTACCTAACTTCGAAGAGGGACAATTTGCTGAGTGTTATCTTACGGCATCTGAGTATGTGGTAAGATACCGCTCAGTTACTAAAATACCGCATTAGTTATATTATTAAGTCATGCGATATTTTACTAGTGAAACATTCATTCATGTTTCAGCTGTCAGTGGGGTTCCCTGTTGACAGCTGAATGTCAAAAGAATTGTCGGCATTGCCCCACAATTAAAAAAAAAACAAAAAAAATGGCATTGGGTCCCCCCTCCTATCCATACCAAGCCCTTCGGGTCTGGTATGGATTTTGAGGGGAACCCCCCCATGCCAAAAATAAAAAAAAGGTTTGGCATGGGGGTCCCCTCCAAAATCCATACCAGACCCTTGTCCAAGCATGCAGCCCAAGAAATGCAGGTCAGGAAAGGGGGGAACGAGAGAGCGTCCCCCTCCCTCCTGAACCATACCAGGCCACATGCCCTCAACATAGGGGGTGCTTTGGGGCAGGGGGGGCTGATGGGGACAAGGGCCTCTTCCCCAACCCTGGCCGGTGGTTGTGGAGGTCTGCGGGTGGGGGGCTTATTGGAATCTGGAAGCCCCCTTTAACAAGCCCCCCCCCCATGTGAATAAGTATGCGGTACATGGTGTCACTACCCATTCACAAAAAAAAGTGTAGTGTAAAAAAAAACAGGAGACAGTCTTTGATAAGTTCTTTATAAAAATAAATATAAAAAAGAAAATGACCCCTGAAGTAGATCCGATGTCAAGCAGGATGCCAGCCACCACTGCTGACCTGGAAAAAAAAATTTGCTCTGCCTTCGACACTGGCTCCCGTCATTTGACAGCTGCATTGCGATGATAGTTCTTGAATAGGGTGATGACCTCACAAGGGGGCGGGATAACCCCACCCTCATGTGACATCACCATGCCCTGTTATTGGCCAAAGCATTGCACCTGATCTGCGGTCAGGTGCAATGCTTTTGTCAATCACAATGCACTGTCAAGGTGCAGTGCATTGTGGTGGCAAATAGCACACTGAACGCTCGTACCATTTGTGTGTTCAAATACGAATGGCCGATGTTCGAGTCGAACTTACATTCGACTCAAACTTACAGCCCATCGCTAGTTGTAATTCTCAAATCCCAAAGGACTAAAAATACTTGACACTTCTTTGAAAATTAGTATCTTTATCCTGGTGTTTTAGCTTTGCCAATTGCACTTTTTGGGTATAACCAACCAGAATGGATACCAATCAGGAAAAAAAATGCCAGTTAGTTCCAGCAAGAGCCAAATCACCCCTGTTGTCTGCTGAATGCTTAGCTGCAGAGTACATACATTTCAGAGGAGGTTAGTGTTGACCATTTATAAAAAGCTACTTGAAGTCCACCTAAGCTGTATGAGTTTGTTGTCTCCAAAAGGCGACACGTGTTTTTCCTTTGTTGCGGAAAGTACAGTATGTTACAGAACTCAATAACTAGAAATGTACATACCCAACAGTGAATGTTAGAGCCCATGAGCTTTAGTCACTATCCCTTTTCCATATATTAATGCTCTCACAGGTTTCTTAGTGGATTTTACCTTGCAAGCAAAAATGATAACCTAAATGATCTCTTCATTGGGCTTCCATTATTGGGGATGTCTCTCTCGAACTTAGGGTTAGGACAGGCCTTGAAGCCATGTTAAAGTAGTATTAATCCCAAAAACAAAAATGTATGAAATTGCAGCTTATCAATTCTCCAATGTGGTAGTTTCATTCATTTTCTTCTTTTTTAGGCATTTTTCCTTTATTTTCACCCAGTGATCCTCCAGTATGTCTGTTTTAATTTTCAACTTCCTTTAACCACTTCAAGTCTGAAACACTTTCAACCCCTTCAAAGTCCAATCCAATTTTCAGCTTTCAGAGCTGTCACACTTTAAATGACAATTGCTCGGTCATGCAACCATTTTTTTGAAACAGGTAAAACTTTCTTTTCGTGGTATTTATTCACCACTGGGATTTTTATTTTTTTGCTATATAAATGAAAAAGACCAAACATTTTTTAAAAAAAGTGTTTTTCTTATAAAATTTTGCTTATAAATAATCTTTCTTCATAAATCTTGACCAATATGTATTCTGCTATCTTTTTGGTAAAGAAAAAAAAACCTAAATCAGTTTTATAAAAATAAATATAATTTTTAAAAATGTTTTATTACATTTTTATTTTTTTTATATTAGTATTTGTGTATTATTATTATTTTTTTTAACATACTGTCACCCTAGCTAGCAGTACAGTGTCACCATAGTGACACTGTACTACTTGTGGGGTTGATGCCATTTTTTTTTTTTTAACACCGTTTGCTTTTACACCCATAAAAGCTGTAAAAGCAATCATTTCTCCTTCTCTCTGGCTGCATTCTTGCAGCCATTGAGAAATACTGTGATAGCTGTAATTGGTCACAGCTCGTCACATGGTACAAGGCTGTTGTGAATGACTTTGTACCATGTGACCTCTGTGATTATTCACAGAAGAATTCAAAAGTAGTAAACAATGAAGTCAGGAAGTGACATCTTGTTTACTACTTTTCATGTGATCACTGATTGGCCAATCAGTGATCACATGAATCAGGACCTCACACAGAGTACCTCACACAGGTACAACGATCTGTGTGCACCAGACACAGCGGGCACAGATCGCAGTGCTGGATAATTCATAATTCAATGGATGCGGGGGTAAGTTTAGAAACGTTCCCCCCCGCATCGGCAATGCTCCTCTCTGGCCTTTTATTGGCATGGGCCGAACGGGAAGAGGTTAACAGACCAAGCTGCCCAGACAATGTAACATTTAGAGGGTTGGGGCAGACCATTTAACACTGACGGGGTGCTTACAATGGTCAGCTTTAATTCATTTATATAAATCCTTTATCCCAAAAAGAGAAAAACAGTTTTCTGTAAGTGCTTTATAAAGTGTTAGCTAGCATTCAGCTTTTATTTGTTAGCCAAAGCCATCTAAATTTTCTAGTCTAACAATATCCTCTCCCCAGACTGACAATGCTGCTGTCCAAAGGTGTCTGCTTTACTACATCATCCAGAATGCAGACACCCTAAGACAGGAATCGTGTTACTGGCTGGACCAAAGGGAACAAAACAAAACTAATACAGCCACAACATCTAAGGATTAGTAAGCTGCAATATAATACATTTTTGTTTTTGTGTTTAATTCTACTCTGTTAAGTGTCCACTGGACTCTGTGACTGGCAATAGTTTTGGTTTTCCAACTGCAAGTTATCAGTATGTTGGAAATTATAATTGGATTGATTTTCTTGTATGAATCAATAAAATTGTGGCCTTACCCCTTTTTGAGGGGGAATTTATGCAGGCATATAGCTATATTCAATAGGTTCAGAATACTCAGATAAATATGTTTATGCTGCTTAAAGTGTTACTAAACCCCCAACAGTAAGATCAGTCTGTATATGCAGTAAAGCATGCTTGTTATACTCACTGTGGGACCTAAGGGGTTAATCCTCTGTATTGTATAAAAAAAGGCTGTTTGATCCTGTCTTCTCTTATCCTCCTTTGCTTCTACTGTCCCCAATCCATCTGCTGCTGGTACAGAGCCCTAGGAGCCACTCTGAACATGCTCAGTTTGGGGTGTATTGCTAGAGAGTTTTTTTTTCTTTTGAAGGGTGCATGTGATCAGCACAGGGCCAATCAGCACTGTCCGTACAGAGGGTTAGCGGTCATGTAGCCTCATAGGAGAGGAGAATGAAAACTCCTTTTACAAGATTAACCAGTGCTTGACCAGACACTGATAGAAGTCACAAGCCTGCTAAACACTGCTGATGAGAAAAGGTATTTAGCAGTTTATATTTACTAAAATATTTTCATTTCCATGTTCTGTGTACTGTGGGGGATCAGATATAGTGAATGCAGGGTCCTGGGTTTAGTAACACATTAACAGTTATGAGTCAGAACAGTAAAGCATCACTTTTTGGATGACTCCTTCTGGGGTTTCAGAATAAGCACCAATAAGCAGACTGTGGTCTTTAAAAAAACCCATAGCATTCTGTAAATCCTTACACAGAGGTTTCACAGCTGCTCTCCAGGGATTGCTAGAAAGTTGTGACTGGAGAAAGGCAGCAATAAAAAAGATTCAAGTCACAGGTACTGTTAGAAAGGATATTAAGAGGAATAACAATGGTTACCTTTAAGCAGATCGTGGTTGCAATGTCAAGCTCCTGCATACACTGCATAGAGTTCTCTGCCCATACCTCAGTACAGGCAGACAGTTCTGAATGAACTATGGGCACCTGCAGTTCATTCAAACTACGAGTTTGTCTGCTACGGTGGTGGATGGGACTTGTAGTTTTGTTTATTGATAGTGCCTGTGGATGTGCAAGCAAAATCTTGCACAGTTGCGCTGATTAAAACTTTAACAGTGTGTGCGGGGAGAAAAACCCTTGCTCGCTGTCACAGTGGTGGATCGGGGGTGAGTGCGGGGTGCTGCATAGTAACATGTTACTAAAGGTGAACTAATTTTGTAACATGATATAGCATGTGCAGTCTCGTTTCTCCACTTCAGGTGGCGCTCAACAGCAGCGGCATTGCAGAGGTAGAGGAAGTCAGGAGGAACATGTGAACAATGACTTCCTGGGTCACTGGGGAAGCAATCCAGTTAGATGCTGCCACCCCATGTGACTCTGTGGGCCATCTTGGGTCGGGCAGAATCTATTTAAGACCCTGGCTCCTGGGTTTGGCATGCATTTTGTGAGTGGACAGTGTAGGGACAGGTCACTCGTCTGTCAGGGAAAGTGAATATCAGTAGGGAAAGGTTCCAGTTGAGTAGGGACAGCATAGGGACACGCTATTCTTCCAGGAATCCTTCCATTTGGGCACAGACTGGCCAGGTCGCATTCCAGGAGACCTGCTCCTCTCCACATTCTTGTTGAGAACTATGAGTGTTCCCAGTCTGTTTATCACAATTGGATTCTGTGTAATTACTGCTGCCGCACCACATTGTACCCACCCTCATGTACATACCACATACAAGTTTTTCTTAGCATTCTCCTTTATTTGCCTAACACTGAAAAAAACATTGTGCTAAAACAATTGGAGCTGGAATCCAGTTGGTTATAGGCACCCCCAACAAGTTCTGCTGAGCCTCTTTGTATACATGAGGTTCAGTACGGTACAGTTCAGGCCCTGTCTGGCTATGAACACAAGCTTCCAGACAGATCTTTGTAAGTAGTATAAATAGCTTCTTGGGGCCGTCCCGTAAGTCTGGTCCATTGTTTGATCTTGACACCAGCTGTGACTCATCGGAACCGCACATGGCTCAGCCAGTTTCATACATTTTTCTGGGTTAGGTGAATCTTCAGCTTTGTAATCATGCAGGGTTTTCTGACATATGTCAGACCACACAGACATCCCAAATTGTGGATCCTCAGACAGGAACGCACATGGTTCCTTCCCTGAAGTGGTGTTTCCACTTTCCAGTCTGTGGGTGTTAGAAAGATGTTCCTGTAATCAGTTTATTGCAGACACAGCAGTTCATGCATCTGTAGTATTCATTCCTTGTTGTTGGTAGAAGGTACAGGACAATCTGGACTATATTTCATTAGTAATATTTAGGCTGCCGTCTACACATCTAACCACGTTGCTATGTTTCTTCAGGCTAACAACTATGTCAAATTGTACTCTTAATTTACTCATTAAAGTTTCAAGGAAGGCCAGCAGAACCAGTTTCCTCTATACATTAAGGAAGGCCTTCAACCGGGCCAAAAAAATCATCTCTAAACCCACATAACATCTGAATATGTTTACCTGGTATTTGAGTATTTCAAATGTGAGCTTTTGAAGTTGCTGTATTATATAGGTGCAAAACTCCTGGACTCCAATTTCTCATATGCTGTGCTAAGTGCCAAAGATGAATTTGGATGAGACTGCTTTTTATCCAAATCACAGAGTCTGTGCATGCCAAGGACTGTGCTGGGTTATACTCTTGCCACTAAAACTGTTACCTTCATAAAGATGTTGTAACCCCCACATAACCCATGCCTGCCAGGACAGGTTACAATCTTTTTTTTTTACTAGGGTTGCTTGAAATTTGAACAACAGTATAATAGGTACCTGTTAGGGTGAGCACCACTCACAGCAAGCATAGGGGTTGATTGACTAAAATTGGAGAGTGCAAAATCTGGTGCAGATATGCATAGAAACCAATTGGGTTCCGTTTTTTTTTTTTTTTGCCAAAGCATAACTGAACAAGCTGAAGATAGAAGCTGATTGGTTACCATGCACAGCTGAACCAGACTTTGCACTCTGCCATTTTAGTAAATCAACCCCAGTGTGCTTTTGCAAATAATTTTTTGTATTATATCATGTATATTTATATACACTGTTTTGCCAAAAGTATTTGGACACCTCTCTAAATCATTGGACTCAGGTGTTCCAATTACCTCCACGGCCACAGGTGTATAAAATCAAGCACCTAGGCATGCAGACTGCTTCTACAAACATTTGTGAAAGAATGGGTCACTTTCAGGAGCTCAGTGAATTCAAGCGTGGTAGCATGATAGGTTGTCACCTGTGCAATAAGTCCATCCGTGACATTTCCTTGCTACTAAATATTCCACGGTCAACTGTTAGTGGTGTTATAACAAAGTGGAAGCAACTGGGAACAGCAACTCAGCCACAAAGTGGTAGGCCACATAAAATGACAGAGCTGGGTCAGCCCATGCTGAAGTACACAGTGCGCAGAGGTCGCCAACTGTCTGCAGAGTCAATAGCTAAAGACCTTCGAATTCCATGTGGCCTTCAGATCAGCACAACAACAGTGTGTAGAGAGTTTCATGGAATAGGTTTTCATGGCCGAACAGCTGCATCCAAGCCTTACATCACCAAGTGCAATGCAAAGCGTTGGATTCAGTGGTGTAAAGCACTCCGCCACTGAACTCTAGAGCAGTGTAGACGTGATCTCTGGAGTGACAAACCATGTTTCTCTGTCTGGCAATCCGATGGACCTGTCTGGGTTTGGCAGTTACCAGCAGAACGGTACTTGCCTGACTGCATTGTGCCAAGTGTAAATTTGGTGGAGGGGGAATTATGGTGTGGGGTCGTTTTTCAGGGTTGGGCTTGGTCCCTTAGTTCCAGTGAAGGGAACTCTTAAGGCATCAGCATACCAAGACATTTTGGACAATTTCATGCTCCCAACTTTGTGGGAACAGTTTGAGGATGGCCCCTCCTGTTCCAACATGACTGCACACCAGTGCACAAAGAAAAGTCCATAAAGACATGGATGAGTGAGTTTGGGATGAAGGAACTTGACTGGCCTGCACAGAGTCCTGACCTCAACCTGATACAACACCTTTGGGATGAATTAGAGTGGAGATGCTAGCCAGGCCTTCTCATCCGACATCAGTGTCTAACCTCACAAATGTGCTTCTGGAAGAATGGTCAAACATTCCCATAGACACACTCCTAAACCTTGTGGACAGCCTTCCCAGAAGAGTTGAAGCTGTTATAGCTGCAAAGGGCGGGCCAACTCAATATTGAACCCTACGGACTAAGACTGGGATGCCATTAAAGTTCATGTGCGTATAAAGGCAGGCATCCCAATACGTTTGGCAATATAGTGTATATTCCCTTAATATAGGTTTCATTCCCTTTTTGGTTGACACACAAAGTAAGTGTATTTTGAGGTGGTTTTTCTGGTCTTTATAAAGTAACTGGAACACGTCACACAGAGTAGGCAAAAGAGGACTCGGCTTTCATTCAATGTGCTCCGCTGCTTTTCCACATCAAGTATCTCACTTTCCTCATGGGTGGAGCTCAACTGTACCACTGCTCCTCACAGACTGTCACCTTTTTTACCATTCACACTGCTATGCTTCATAGCAGGCTCTCAACTGCTTTTTGAATACTTTAAAGTAGTTGTATTGGCAAAAGTTTATTTTACCTTAATGTATTCTGGGTAAAAAAATCTTCTAATACCAGTGCCCCCAGGCCCCCTCCCTAATCTGTAGTCCTGTATCAATCCAGTGATGTGCCCAGTTTCAGTTCACCTCTCCCCTCTCTGCGCTCTCACAAGCTTGGCTGAGAGCAGCAGGAGCCATAAGTTTCTGCTGCTGTCAGTCAAATAATGAGAGGAGGGAGTCGGGGTGAGGCCAAGCCATGCTAGGTGTGTCTACAGATGAATCCAGTCATGTTCAGGATTGAGCTTGCACAAGTGCTCCCATAGCAAGCTGCTTGCTATGGGGGCACTCAGAAGAGAACAGGAGCCAAGAATGCTGGTAGGGGACCTGAGAAGAACAGATTCGGGGATGCCCTTTGCAAAACCATTACCAGAGCAGGTAAGCATATCATGTTTGTTAATTAGAAAGCATATCATGTTTGTTAAAAAAAAGAACCTTTACAATCACTTTAACTTTCTGGCTGCAGTCTAGCTGCCTGGCATATGGGTCACCACCCATTGAAGACATCATGATTAGTATTGACTCACTCGCCTAATAAGAAGAGGGGCTACCGTATATCCTGGGTATCCTTTTGCGCCTGCTGTTCATGGCATTTATCATTAAATGAGAACTCCAGATAAACTCTCATAACACTTTAGGCAAAACCACTTTAGTGTGGCCCTGAACATACACAGACCTTCAAGTGTTACTTTCAAGCTATAAGCCATAAGATCAGGGCAATATTCTTGGAGCCTACTCTTTAAAAAACAATAGCAACTCCTGTATTTCTGTCTTCCTAATTTAACTTTCATTTTGAATTGCTCAGGTAGTTATTGGTTGACAATTAAGTTCCCACCTTTTCTGAGATTAACATTGGCAAGACATATCATTTTTACTGACCGGGCTTGAAATATACTGGCCAGGTGCCGACCCTATTTGCTGATACCTTCTTTTGAAGGGGTGGGAACAATTAAATTAAAAAATATTGCTTCATGCAGTATGTACTCCTCTTTTTCAAGAATAAAACACAGATCATCTAACCACAAACACCTGCATTATGACTGGTTTAACCCCTCTACTATGTTAGGGATGGGACAATTGTTTAACTAGTTAGTGTTTCAAGAAAAATGCATGGCCAATCCATAAAAATGTGGGGTAAATAAAGTATTCAGAAAAATGTTTCTAAAGACATACTGTTGTGTTTTTTTTTCTTCCATTTGTGTTTCAACTAATCAGTGTCACATTGTAGTCTAATCCAAATAAACTCTTTGAAAAGTTATTTTTATATGAAAATATATATATGTACAAATATATACATAATTTGTGAGGATTTAGATTTAGCCAAACTTGCATGATTCAGATGATTAATCCTTTTATCCATTTTGCAGCTTTAAAATTGAGAAAAAGTCTTGCAAAGAGCAAAGAATAAAATATGGGTAGCAGCAGTAGCAAAGCCAAAGTAGAAAATACATTTTTATTGATTTGTAACAAGACTTTGAATTTTCTGGGTGGATTAGCTGGACAAACACAGACAGTGATTAGACACTTCCAGGAAAACAGAGGGATATAACGGGCAATAAAGAGGGGCTGTGCTAAGAAACTAATACCTCAGTTCCTGAGCAGAGCCCCTCCCTCCTTGTACATCATAGCCCTCTCCTCCTCTGGGAGTGTCTAATTATGTCTGCACTGGCCCAGCTCCTCCACCCCTACCCTCACCTACAGTACCTACATAGTTGTTTATGTAACAGCCGAGGGGAATACTATTAAGCATCACTGGAGAGACAACTCTGAGTCTGCTGGGGTTGCTGATATCATATGCATAGTACCCTGCAACAGTCTCAGGACTTTTAGATGTCTACAAAAGGGAGGATGTTACAGGTAAATGACACATATAATACAGTATATGGTAAATTCACATATAATCTTGTAGGAAGATTTTTGATTAAATAAATGCTCTGGGGACATGGTCTTTTTAATCCCTGTTCTGTTGCATATTCATTTTATCCTGGGCCAGAAGTATCTGTGCCAAGGGTATGGAGGTCCCTTGGCAAATCATATAGCAACAAGATCCCTGATCCAAGAAAATGCTTTAATTCTGAAGAGATAAAAATAAACTTGTAAGCAGGTGGATGTCAGATATGTACGTTTTATATAAAAAAGTTATATATTGTTTCTCGGTTGATGTCTATGGTTGGATTTCTTTGTTAGAGTATTGCACTGTTTACTGGCCAGGTTTTCCTAGGCTTTTTGTGGAAGTACTGTCCCCAGCAGGGGCAAACACATAAAATGGCAGGGAACCAGCTCTTGGGGGGCCGAAGTTAGTAAGACCAGTGAAGGTTCGGTGTCAGCTCTCCCCAATAATAGAACAGAATGCTGCTAAGGACAAAAAAATCTACTACTAATTTCACTTATTCACACCCAGTGGGAGTCCATTCGGGGTCCCAGGGTTATGGACTCATGCTTTGGACTTAAAGACGTAAAGACTAAAAAGGACTTTCTCACCTATTTAAAGTATGACTACCTCATGGGGCAATCAGGGGCACCAGTGGACTAAGTAAGGGGAACTTGGAGATGATGTACAGGAACGTGTAGTGCAGAAAACTTGTTGTACTGTTTATTGGTTACATTTAAAACAACTTCAGTAAAGAAAATTTATCTTTATTAAACTTGGTCTGGTCTGAAGTAACTTGAGGACAACGTTAAAGGGGTGCATGCATGTATAACATATCACTAGGACAGGGCTTATCAAGGGGACAAGATGAGTTAGAGAAGATGCAGTACCAACGTTGAATGTGCAGTGAAGCTATTCAAGGGATTCTATATTGACTTTGCTAATGGCTACAGTACAAGTGCCGGGTGCATAAGCAGTCATCCGGTTGGGAAGCGGTGACTTGGCATGGGTAACAAAAGGCCCTGGTAGTAAAGGAGCTTTTATGCTTTGGCTCCTTCCCTAGTGACTGGAATCCTAATACTGGGTCTGACTAGCGGCAGCCTGGGAGTCGCTGAAGATGGATTAAGGCCTCAGGGGAATAATAAGCATGGATATGTAAGAGCAGGGGCGGACTGACAACTCATGGGGCCCCCGGGCAATAGGGGATCATGGGGCCCCTGTGTCCTTGCCCAAACTCAAAGAAGCCTATGAAAAAGGTACCAGGGGCATCTCATGAGGCCCCCTACTGACCCCGGGTCCTCAGGCAGTGCCTGAGTTTCCAAATGGTCAGTGTGCCCCATGTAAGAGTTCATCTTCCTAGTATTCCAGTGAAACATCACCCCTACAGGAGACGTGTTATTACACGAAGCGCGTCTAGGAGGAGCCTCTGCACGCCTTGACGTTAAGCCACCGGATCAGGAGGTCCGGTGGCCATCATCTATATTCACTGGTCAGTGTATTTAAGAGCTCATTTACACTATACCTGTATAGGTACTCCAACCCTGTACGTTTACTGTTTTATCTTAATGATATATACTCAATAAATACTTTTTACAATACTACACTATGAGCATTCTCATCTCTACTACCTGGCACTGAGCCTCCACATCACAGCCCAGCATTCTAGGAGTCCACCCAGGCAGGACAATTTGGGAAATTGGTCCAGATCAACTTCTCTGGCAGCCGTCACCCTATCCACCACCAGAGGGCACCTTTATCATCAGGCTATACCTTCATGGGACCTCCGGCTTCATGGAATTTCTATGTGCACATTAAATTGCACTTCCGGTGAGTGGGCAATTTTTCTACACCTTCATGTTAGGATGCTGGAATATACCCATTTGGATTGAAGTCGCTTATACTCCATCACTGGAATATACCTTTTTGGACTGATATTATATTACCTTGGACTGTTTAACATCCAGTTTATGGGATTTTTCCATTTCTGTCATATTTCGTCATACTTTAGACAGTGTGTTTTATTTATATAGCGCTGCACACCCCTATTTTTATGTCATACAAATCAATGTCACTGGGAGTGAGGTGACAGGTAACTGGGCTGGTGGAGTCCAGTACAAGCTGTGGGGTACTAGTTCAGAAATGCTGCACAACTTATAGTGTTACTAAACCCACAACAGTAAAATCAGTCTGTATATGCAGTAATGCATGCTTGATATACTCACTGTGCAACCTAAGGGTTAATGCTTTGCATTGTGTAAAAATGCTGTTTGATCCTGACTTCTCTGCTCCTCCCCTTCTTCCAGTGCCCCCCTCTTATCTCCTGATAAGACATATAGTGTGGAGACACTCTGCACATGCTCAGTTTGGAGTGTATTGCTAGAGAGGTTTCTTCCTCCTTGGAGAGTGCATGTGATCAGCACAGGGCCAATCAGCACTGTCCAGACAGAGGTCAGGGGTTCTGCATCCTCCAAGAGCAGAAAGAAAACTCCTCTTACAAGCTTTAACGAGTGCTCTGCTGAACACTGATAAAAATTGCAAGATTGCTCTAACTGCTGATGAGAAAAGGTATTTAGCAGTTTATATTTACTAAAATAATTGCATTCCCATGTTCTGTGTACTGTGGGAGATCAGATAAAGTGAATGCAGGGTCCTGGGTTTAGTAACACTTTAAGTGAGAGAAGATTAATGAATGTATTGAGGAGCTGTTATCCATAAATGTACAGAGTGTAATGGGGAACTGATGTCCGTAGTGAACAATGTGAAGTATTATAGAACATGGGCCATGGATTACAAGGAGATAATTGTGTTCTTTTGATGAAGCATTTCTTTTAAAGTGGAATGCTGCCTTAATGCCAATCTTTCGTTAAACAGCAGCCTCAGCTTGCCATTGGGGGCACCAGTGAGCACTTGCTCTGGGTCCCCACTTGGGTGTAGTAAGCACCACCCAAAAACTGGGATATCGATAGCAGCGACATAGATCTATAGTTAATTGTGTATCCTTTGGTAGACATGGTGGTGGTGAGTAGGTAACTCTGACTGATAATTGTGAATATATAAGTCCTGGTTGACATCCCTGCCCCTTTGGGGTAAACACAAAAATGGGTTGCTGCTTTCTGTGATGGCATGTCAGCAATTGGCATCCTCACCACCTTAATGTCTAACTTCTCTTTGTTGATGGCAATAGATCCAAAATGTGTCAAATAAAAAGAAACTCTCTGGTCCTCTAAAGCCAGGGGTTGGACCTGAAGCCAAGACCCTCTACCCAAAAAAGCCGTCATTGCAAACCTTCAATTAGTGCCTCAGAACTTTGGCCAGAACTACAGGAAAAGTTCATTGATGCTGTTCAGGACTTGCCCACATTCCAGTACCAAATTATTCAAACCCAAAAGATTTAGATCGATAGCAGATCTGAATAACTTTTTTACAAACTCCTTTCATTTGCGATTCCTTAAACTTTTTCCCAAAGCACTACAAAGCCAGTTTATAAAGCCACAAAATCCTTTGCAATTCAGTTTCAAAACAAATAATTGTATTAGTCCAGCCTTAATGAATCCATATGTCTGCAAATACTTTGTATACTGTTTATTTTATTTCTCGTGTGTGTCATTTATCATTCCATGTAAAACACATCCGCGGCTAAAAATTTGAGTTTAAAGGCAAGTCTCTTTCATGTGAAATGATTAGCCCTTAAGAAATGTGATGCTAAATTCTTGCGGAGATCAGTGGCTGCTAATAGGGCATGCAATGTCTAATTTCAATCTCGTTTACCTTGGCAGTCTGCTAGAGGATGCTACGTGGTCACCACAGACCAAAAATGTACAAGAATCCTGGACAGCTCTGTGGTCAGTCGATGCAGCCCGTCAATAAATCTACCTAATTTATAGAGTCTATCTTTATATGTGCGGTCTGTTAAGATATGCTGCAAAGTCATTTTTGTACTATATTTTGACTGCAAAGACATCTGTATCAACAGAACCGGCAGAGGGGATCTTATAAATCTTCAGTATATTTGACCCCTTTCTCCTGTTCATGAAACTTTTTCCAAAACTCTTATTTTTTCCACATTATTAAGTTCCATCTAATATTGCAATAGTCTCATTCTCGCATCATTGACTTTGTTCTTTTGAAGTGATTAAAATGTAACTCTAGTGAGTAAGTAAAATGTATGTACAGCCAACATTCACTTTTGGATAGGGTAGGGTAGGAGGATAAAAACTGACAGTTTACTTTTTTCTGTGTTCTATTTTTTTCAGCGCCATCAATTTACACAACGAGTTACATTTACAGTTTATATTGTACATTCACATCAGTCATTGCCTTCAAGAATCTTCCAATCTAAGATCCCTGACTCTCATTCATACATACACATACTAGGGCCAATTTAGATAGGAGCCAATAAACCTACAAGCATGTCTTTGAAGTGTGGGAGGAGACTGGAGTACCCACACTGGCACAGGGAAAACATGCAAACTCTGTGCTGGTAGTGCTGAGATTCGAACCAATGACCCTAGTGCTGCTAGGCTATTTTTCCTTCACTTCCTGACCCAGTGCTGGATGTGAGAGGAAATCTATGCAAAGTGAGGAGATTTCCCTCGTAGATAGTTTTTAATGGGACAAGTGTCCACCATTGGAAGAGTTACCTTCATCTCTTGTTCTGGTGGCTTTGGATTTCCCATTATCGTTAATGGCTACCACGACAATGAGAAAGGGTAAATCCCCCAGTGGGGACCAGGTAGTCCAAATCCTTCCGTATTCTATCCAAAAAAATAATAATTTTTTTAGCTATTTAAACATTTAAAAAAATAACATTCATATAAAGAAGCATAAGATTTCTAAAAAAAAATAATCTGGAAATGAGAAGAGTATATCTGAATACAATGTTGATTAGAATGTTGATTAGATGCTTGCCTTGCATTTGTTGGGTTGCTAATAAAGTGCATGTAAAGCCAAACATTTTTTTAATAAAATGTGGAAGAATTAAGCTGGCCATAGACAGGTAGGTTTTTTTTGTGTTCAGTAGTGGGTTGAACAAAAAAAACTAACAAATTTCTCCATTAGCACAAGTGAGGTAGATGGAGGAATCCCCTCTGCTGGCACATTGTATTCTGACGGTGGGACTCTCTACTGTCAGAATACACTGGTTAGCAGCTGTGGCTGATTGGCTGAAGCTGTTGATTTGAAAAAGTTTTCCATGTCCCTTCTACAGAAGTCGAACAAACAATCTACTTCCATTGATCCAGGAGGGCCACACACTGATCAAAATTTGGCCTGTCCCTGCTGAACTGGGCAAATTTTGATTCATCCATGGCCAGCTTTAGAACCCCTGTTGGGTTCTTATTGTTGTCTGTGTTCCTGCTTGTAACCAAGTCCATGTCCATTTTGTGATTCTCCGTAGGCAAGTTAGAGTGTTGACAATTCCACTCCTGACCTGGTCTATAGGAAGGGTGGGAGACTGTACTATGGATACCATGTGCACTAATAGGTCTTTGTAAATATATGGGGGAACCAAGTGAAACATCCTATGCACTGTGCCAGGTTGTTCTGAGGAGAAGTAGTGCTATCTTCCAGAATTGGTACCTAAATCTTTGGTTGTTATACATGTGAAAGTGAGTTTAGTACTTTAGAAGTGTGTAAGCAGGTGCTTCCAAAAAGTTATTTTTCTTCTGTTGTGCTACCTCAAGCTCGTGTTCTTCAGGTTTTTGTTCAACTAAAATTGTTACAATGTATATGTGTATACTGTGTCCTTAGGCTGACTTTCTAGGTTGGTGGATCTAAGAGGAAGGGGTTAATGGTGCTAGCTAGGTTTTCCTGATTTTTCTTAGAAAGTTACCACCCCCTACAGGTTATACCATCTAAATAGGAGCTTTTCTGTGCCCCAAGAGTGTATGCTCAAAAGGCTGCCAAGATGAAATCATTTACTATGGCAGTCTGTGCCCCCATTGGGGGCCATTCGGTGTTCCCTATGGGGTTGGGAACCTGAGGACTTACGTGGGCTTTTAGTTACCAACTATGGACTTACTGCCTTTTATGGATTACTGCCAGATCATGGACTCTAATGGATTACTTGCTACCTGTGTGGATTTATGGCCTAAATGGACTCTTGCCTTGGAAGGACTACTTTTATGAACTTTGCTGCTAAATCAGGCATGACTACCTCATGGGCATGTAGAGAACTTTGTACAAGAATATGTTGTTTGAGAACTGTTCCTGTATTACCCTGAACTACTTTAGTAAAAACCTTTGTTGTTCCTTTAAATATCTAGTCTGAAGTCTCTCAAGGGGTGCATGCCTAGCCTATCAAAAGAACAGGCCTTACAAATGGGGACTAGAGAGTTAGATAAAATACAGTTCATAGAGTCCAGCATGTAGAGTGCTGTCTAGTGTAGGCTATATTTCTGTTGCTAGGGACAACTATATTTGTATCCAGGGGTGGACTGACCATTTGGAAACTCGGGCATTGCCGAGGGCCCAGGGTCAGTAGGGGGCCCCATGAGATGCCCCTGGTACCTTTTTCATACGCTTTTTTGAGTTTGGGCAAGGACACAGGGGCCCCATGATCCCCTATTGCCCAGGGGCCCCATGAGTTGTCAGTCCGCCCCTGTTTGTATCATTTGCTGAATGCAACCAATCAGTCAGGAAATGGGTGACAGGAAAGGGTGATGGCTACTCTGGTAGTGAAGGGGTGCAGGGGTGGACTGACCATTTGGAAACTCTCGAGCACTGCCTGAGGGCCCGGAGTCAGTAGGGGGCCCCATGAGTTGCCCCTGGTACCTTTTTCATAGGCTTTTTTGAGTTTGGGTAAGGAAACAGGGGCCCCATGATCCCCTATTACCCCGGGGGCCCCATGAGTTGTCAGTCCGCCCCTGAAGGGGTGGTATGCTTAGCCCCATCGCTAGCATCTGGCTTCCCACATACTGGGAGCATCCTTGCAGCACACAGTTCCTAGAGACCTAGCTAGGAGTCACAAGAATGAGAGATGCAAGCGGTAGTTAGAGAGAGAGAACAAATAGTAGTTACAGTAAAGTGAGTGTTTTTTGTATCCAGTATTAACAGTTGGACATGTCACTGGCAGTGAGGTGACAGGAATTGCTGTGTTGGTGGAGACCAGTAAAGGCTCTGCGGTTCCTAAATGCTGCACACCTGGGAAGCGGTGCTCTCTAACAAGTAGCTGTGTTCAGTAGTGTGTAGGGTTAACAATGTAACAAACTTGGCCATGAGTTATGTAGAAGCGAGCAGCAATTTCACAGTTAACTCTATGTTTGGGAAATCTGCCTTAAATTTGATTTCACATGACTGCAGCTCAATGACTAAGTTTAGACAGTAGTGAGTGCAGTTCCACTGTGTCCCCACTAGGGCCTCCCAAATCATGCCCACATGCTGGACCTGTCGTAGGCACTGGCCAAGAGTGCTAACTATGCCCTCGTTTCTGCCCCCCCCCCCCCCATTCATAGAAGGTGTACTGTATATAGCCTTCTGCAATGAAAAGTGCTGAATGAATGGAAGAGGCAGACATTTCGATTATCCACCTGTCCTCCATTCATAAATGGCTTGTCATTTATGGAAACTATAGAATGGAGGAGGGGGGCAAAAAGGGTTGGCATACCATAGCTGGAACTTTTGATCATACCTATGACAGGTCCTATGGCTCAT